TAAATTAATTAAAATGAAATGAAATTAGAAATTCAGTTCCTTAACCACACTGGTCACATTTCAAGTGCTCAATAGCCCCAGGTGGATAGTTGTTACTGTATTGGACAGCATAGGTTTAGAACACGTGTATTAGATGTCAGCACAAGTGGAAAAGTTAAAAACTGAATCAATGGCAAACCATTGGGAATCTTTTGTCAACGGGATTTTCAAAGAACATGAGGAAACTGAGTTTTTTTCTCATTCAAACAGCCAGTTGGCTTGTTGACTCACCTGATAGAATTAACACAGTTGCTTTCGTTCTATGTACACATCATCTCTTTTTTTCCCTAAGCCCTTTAATGTTCTTTAACGTGAATATTTCCACGTGCTTTAATTTTGCTTAAAGTTGTCTCCCCTGGATATCCGTTGTCCTGGAGATAATCCTTGAATTCGCTGTTGCAGCTTAAATTTTGAGTAAAATAAAAAACATCTACATTTAGGGAAGAATTAAATGTAGCTCATGTGGCACCATGTTCTGTTTTTCCTTCTCAACTGTCTTATAAATCATGTAAATAAATATAATAAACATTTATTGGGTGATTTCACAATACTTTGGCTCTCAAGGTCCATCGTTTGTGATGACACATAGAAGTTCGCCCAGGAAAGCTAGAAGAATGTCGTACGTCAAATGATGCCTTCCGTCAAGTTCCTGGCAGCCTTTCTTCCCCAGTATTATAAGTTCATGTATTGGCATTTGGCAGTTTTGGCACTTCTGATATGACTTCTTTTGGCTAGCTCAGCATTCTTAAAAAAATAAATCGCTTTTTCACTCTGTGATTGAAAGGGTTAAATAGTACCAATTCATTACCACTCACAAAAGGATTTATTTTGTTCTCATAAATCAGTTTTATTCCACATTTTTATTATTCCCTTGGGTGAGCTACTCCAATTGAAATCAATACAAGTGCAAGTGACACGATCAATCTAGATATTTGATTATGGATTGGAGATCCCCAAGTCTGCTTTTTAGCCAGTTTCTTTCTCGTCTCCCTGAAGAACAGAATATTCTTATTGGCATCTATGAATTATGAACATGTTTAAAAAGCAGATAATAATCTTCATTTGTATACTGACAATAGAAGCCTGAAGAATGAGCAAAGATTAAAAGGTTGAGACGAAATATGTACTATACAATTATTAGTAAGTGTATAAATTTTCCAGTATTTTTCTTAAAGTTTAAAGTAACTATTTTTTTTAAAAAAAACTAAAATATACAATTGGTAGCTATAAACTGCATTCTTAGGCTGCATTAGGTAAGTGATTAACTGTTTTGAACGTAAGAGGTTTTACTGCTTTCACATATTTGTATTAGAACTTAATCACATTAACTGGTCTAGGTTAACAATGAGAAAACAGTTCAGGTGAATTAAATGCCTTTGAATGAATTTAAGACAGTTCCTCTCATTTCTGTAATATCCAGGCTAGAAAGCCACCACTGGGGGGATTTAGAAGAGTAAATCAGTTCTACTTTAAATTAGAGAGCAAAATTGATTAAGTAGTTTCTCAAGAGGGCAACATTTATATCTCAGACTCTCTTTGCTTTACAAACAAATGTATATCTTATGATCCTTTACATACTGAATGCTTATTTGAAGACTCCTGGTACCACTTTATAGTTCTCTCGCCTCTGACTCTAGCCACCTGTTCCTGGTTCTTAAGCCAAATTTTTGCATAGGTACTATTAAACCATTTTGTAATTGACTTTCTTATATTTAGAAGATGCAATATTTGGTGCACTTATCTGATTATTTCCCTAAAATGAATCTCAAAGCAACATTAACACTGAATTTACTTCTTTCAGCAACTATTTTTGCCTTACTTACCCATTTACTGGTTTTCACTAATATCTGTAGGAAGGGGCGTGTTTCATGTTTTTGGTAAATCACATCTAGAAGGCATATAACTTTGAAAGCTTAGAAAAATCTTTCAGAAGTAGTTGAAACAGTAAAAGCTCCTCCTTCTTTTGTCCCACAGTCATTAATTATTCTTCAGTTACTCTTGCTTAAGCCTTTAGAACAGAATCTCCCACTACAGTCAAAGCAATGCACTTGGATTTCCGTTTGCAAACTTCCTAGGCATGTGGAATTTGGGACTACCTCTAACATATTTTCTTCCTGCTTCTTTCCTTTTCAGTAACTTGCGTTTATAAATGTTGAATAATGAAAGACATTCAGAACATTAATGGCAGTATAGTACAGTGATGTAAGTAAGATAGGGCTCCATCACTGTGGTCTTTCCACATACACTATTGCACTCTTTAAAGAGAGTTTACTCAAGAAAATCCACCTGAAATTGGAAATGGCTCTCTTTAATCAGGAAGGCAAAACATCTTCAGAGGTAGTCACTTTTAGGGCTTAAGTTAGCAATTGGCAAACTTTTTCTATAAAGGGCCAAACAGTCAAACATTTTATACTTTGCAGGCTATATGGTCTCTGCCATAACTACTCAACTGTACAGTTGTAGTATGACAATACCCATAAATATGTTCCTGTGTTCTAATAAAACTTTATTTATATGAACAGGAAGCTGGCCAAATTTGGCCTGTATGCTGTAATTTGCAGATACCTGGTTTTATTACAATTTATTTATAAATTTAAATATAATTTATATATTTTCTTTCAACACTCTCATGAGCCTTTGGATTTTACAAAAATTATGCACACCAACTTCAAAATTCATGTAATTAGAAAAAAATCATTCGCTAAAATCCTACTGTTTATAAATACCCAACATAAACATCATTTCAGACCTTTCTCAATTTGTAAGTGGTTTCTTGGTAAGCAAACAACAGAAACAACTCTGGTGAATTAAAGTACAAATTAATTACTGTAAGAGAACTGAGCAGTTAAAAAGTCATCAGGAAAGCTGGAGAAGTAGACTTTGCAGAAATCACAAAAAGCTTGGCCCAGACCAGCCTGTGCCTCAGGCAGGGTACACTAGGATGCCCCACTGTCAGCAGCACCACCACTCAGTGGCCCTGGACAATCGCAGCTCTGCTTCCGCCTTCTCAACAATTCTAGAGACATCTAAAAGAATCCCTAACTGACGCTGAGTTATTTTTCACTCCATTGAGCTTCCTGGTCCCCAGGTGGAAGCCTCTCATGGAAATCCTGTGGTCAAATACCCACAAAAGCTTCCACTGTCCTTTCATTTGCAAAATACCAAAAAAAAAGAAAAATCCTAATTATATTTCTGATCATTTTCTTTCTATATATGTATTATCTTCTCTCTGATTGTTGTATTTTTTTCCTGTGCATGGATGATGATTATCTTAAGTCTTTTCATCATGCCACTGACTCAGATTTTAGCTGCTTCTATTCTGTTCTTCACTTGTTCTAACTTTTTTGTAAAATCCTTAGCGATTTCTTTCTAATTTCCAGTTTGTTTCTCTGGCTCTGTAATAAAGATTTTAGCTGCTTCTATTCTGTTCTTCACTTGTTCTAACTTTTTTGTAAAATCCTTAGCGATTTCTTTCTAATTTCCAGTTTGTTTCTCTGGCTCTGTAATATTCTTTGGCATCGTACAGGGAATATGTATCATTTCCCTCCAGAGCTGTGTGGTTAATTTGTCTCTTTATGTTGGGATGCCTCCTTTCCTGTTGGCTCTATGTATGCGTATTTAGTATTTTATTTCTTCCTTCAAATTCATCTTGTTGATGCCTTGTATGGGAAGCTCTCTCACCTGGTTAGTTTTCCCTCAAATTAAACTTTGAGGACTGGGCATTGCTTCTCCATGTACTTTGTAGCCTAGGAGTGGGGGAAATGGGAACAGAACAGAAGGGACTGATGGATCCTACTCCAGTTATTCCCATTCATCTCCCACCCCTAGAATCATCAGTTTCTACCCCCAACCCAGCACAGCGGTTGGCAAGACAGCCAGCGCCAGCTCCTCTTCCTGTCTCTGCAGAACTCCATCCATTTTCCTTCAGATTGGAGAAGATTAGTGAGAGTTCCCTGGATTTTCCTTGTTTTATATTCCTTGCTCTGGAGGCAGTATGGAACTCTGCTATCAGTGAATAACCATTTACCATAGCTTCCTTTTTGAAGTTTCAAAAATAAATGCCATTAATTTATTCCTTTTCCCTATATATTTGCTGCAAGATTTTTAGCTATTTTGGTTATAATGTTATTATTTTTGTTCTTCTAGTTTTTTCCAATTTGTTAGTTATTTTGGAAGGGTGATTCTGTAATACTAATTTACTCAATCTTCTGCAAAACTATAAACTTTTGAAAGGTCACGATTAATCCTAATTGTATTCCCATGTCCACAGTTTGGAAACTGTAGCACAAAGACTCTAAGATGGCATGTGGTGATGCCTACCTCCTGGTGCTCATGGTTTTGTGTTATGCCGTCTCCTTGCACGTGGTCAAACCTCTGCCTTCTCACTAAAAAGCCATGATAGCAAAGGAAGTGGAATGTTAATTCTGTGATAACATTACGTAAGATTGTAACCAGTCTTGCTAGGAGACTCCGTCTCTTGCTGGCTTTGATAAAGCAAGCAGCCGTGCTGAGGAGGCCCACCTGGGAAGGAAACACAGGCAGCCTCCGGCCAATAACAGGCTAACCACGGAGGGCAGACTCCAGCCAGCAGCCAGCGAGGAGCTGAGACTCCAGGTTTCAAGAGTCTGCAAGGCACAGAATGCTTCCAACAGCCACCTGAGCTGGAGGGGATCCTTCCCCGGTAGAGCCTTAGATGGAACTTCAGTCCCAGCCAACACTTTGATTGCAGCCTTTTGAGATCCTTAGCAGAAGACCTCATTAAGTTACGCCCAGGCTCTTGACCCACAGAAATTATAAGAAAAGTCTGTTGTTTTGAGCTACTAAGTTTGTGGTAATATCTGACACAGCAAGAACACATACTGTGTGGCTGTAGGTTTGGTAAGGCTCTGCTAGAATTCCAAGAGGGAAGAGTCTCCTGTTAATCAGTGAGTCATGTTCTTGACCAGCGTTCAGTTTGGAAGCTGGAGACCACCTTCTGTGGGGGCCTGTTTTCCCGTATAGCTCTTGGATAGCTGGGATAATGGCCAGAGCTGGTTCATTAGGGGAAAAAAAAAAAATTCTTTTTGCCCAAATTGGGGAAAAAAATAAGTCAAAGTAGAAAAGAAAAATCTGACTTTCCAGAGTACAATATCGTTGATGAAAATGGATCATACTTCTCTAATTTACCAAAGTCAAAATATATCTCTGAATTCATTATATATAATATATAATATATAATATGTGTGTATATATATATAATGAATATCATTTTATTAACATATTAATAATCTTCTCTGATGTTAATAAAATGATATTCATTTAGGTAAATCTGATACATAAAGCAAAGTTGATGAAAAGAAATCATGCTCCAAAGGACTTTAAAAATGATATTTAAAATATTTAGAAGACTAATTGTGCAACCTTAGGCACACTCCTGCCCATGCGTTTTTAAAAACTTCAAAAAAGAGCAAAACAAAAAGATTCTCAGTATCTATAGAGCTGTTACTGCTCTTGCATGAGCACTGACTCAGGGTAAAGGTTTCTGAAGCATTTTTTGGTGGGTTGATGAAACGTTCTGTGTATTTATTCCCCAAACTACAATTGTCATTCTAGCAGAACGACCACTTTTTAAAGAGGAATCAAGGAAGTACAGCTTTTGCTAGATGACAATTAATTAAAAATCCCATTAGAGTAATTACAATAATGGTAAGAAATATAATGCATTAATAGATCATTGTCCTTCTCAGATGCCTAAGTGGCTCACAAGTTCTTTCTTTATCTTTCAAAATATCCTATGGAGAAGACAGCATGTAGGTATATATCTATAAATATTTTCTATGTTGGCAAAAATGTAAGGCCAGAAATAGGCCCTTTTAACCATATATCAACTTAAAATTAAACAAATAATCCAGTACCGTTCAGATCTCTACCAAAGTGAGATCTGTGATAATAATGGAGTTTGGATATGCCCTTCCCTTTGGGTAAAATAATTTGAAATAATATCCTTAGAAGGAATAAATAAAAGTAACTTAAATATTAACACATGCTGTAGAGCAGCCTAGAATTCTTCGTGCACACTGAGGGCCTAATTTGCCCTTTGCCCTGGTCTGCAGTGCGCCATTCCATGTCTTTTGATTTTTGTGTTGGTAGAATTCTGCAGTAGCGAGGGGGAGCTGAAAACATGACAGCTGAGGTCTCAATAGAGGAAAAATACAGCGTTTTCTCTTTACAGCAAGAAGTGGGAAACTTAGTTAACACCTTTCCTACCTTAAGCTGTAATTGGATTCAGAGAAAGGCTAGCTTAAAGCAGGACCCAATCTGACATATAAAATCCTCACAAGGTAACAAGAATCGGTTTGGTTTGTTCGCTGTCATTTCTCATTACAATCTTTGTCACGAGAATGGATTCATGTTGTGCCATTTTCCGTTCTTGTTACAATCTTTGTCACATGAATAAGATATCAGGATGTTAATGCCTGGCATACAGTCTTCTGTGTGTGATGATACTGTACAAGACTATGCTGACCTTTGCAACATTATGTATTCTGATTGGTTGTTCATTTCACCCCTTTCCCACAAGTTAATAAGGCTGTAAAAAGGAGAGAACTGAAATGGCCAGCCAGTCAAATTATAGAATATTGAAAAGGTCAGAGCAGTACAGCACAGAAGAAAAAAATTATGGAATATATGGTGCATTAAAATTCTTGTGACAATGATTATAACAAGAATGGAAAAGGATACCCATTTATGTTGTACCAATCTAGGGAACCCCAAGGGATAGTATTCCTGGGACAGCAATCAATCAATTTATGCATCCCTGATTCAAGCATGGGAAAGTTATTTATTTATGCTGGGTTTTGCTTTAAAAAAAATTGTATAGGAAATACCTTACTATTCAACAAATAACATTAAAATTATGATGTTAGCCTTAGAAGATAGGCATTAATTTTTTAACATTTTAGTAGAACTTCATATTGGAAGCTAGAGGAAAGGTTCTTTACAAGTGAAATCTGTTGGACATATGAGATTTATTTTAGTTGTTTCTTCACTTAGCACTTTTATCTTCAAAATAAGATAGAAAAGTAGGACTGAATGTGGAATATCCTGAAACAGCATGTGGGAGTTTATTTAAAAATTTTACATCGTCTATACAAAACTTGTTATTCTCCTTGTGATGTGTGATGTTAGCCAATATAAAAAGAATCTTTCCTTCCTGTGTATTCTCAGTGGTGAGATAGAAAAAAAGAAAGAGAGAGAGAAATACATATCAGAATTCTGAAATTATTGTTCTCAGGTGTGCAATAATGATTACTCATTTTAAAAATTATTGTTATGCATATTTAAAGATTTCTTACAGAGCAACTTGCTAATCTGTAAAGAGAGATCCAGTTTAAGAGTTAGATTTATACTTTCTGAAAATGCATTATTATTTCATAAATAGAGTAAACATTTTATAGTCGAAAGCTAGAATCTAAAGTCATCATTAATAAGGATGCTAAATGTGACCTAATTATTTTTGGAGGCAAAGGAAATGAATTGTGATCAGTACTTCAAATCTTGAACATGGATTAAATAACCCTAAAATCACTACTCCTGCATGCCTAAGAAGAATTACCAAGTGACTCCTGGGCCGTGCCCTCTGAAATTCTCAATCAGTAGGTCTGGAGTGGAACTTGAGTATGTGGGTGTTTATGAAACACCCCCAAGTGATTTTGATGTAGGTGAACCCTGAAAACTGGTTCATATGACCCCATTTTCAAAGTACTTAGTGCAGTCCCCAGCGAAAGCCCAATGGCACAGACCACAGCCAGAGAGGGGGGATGAGGGGAGCTCCACTGCAGTCACAGTGGCTGGGGGTGGGGTGAGGGGGTAGCTGTGGTCCCAGAACACAGAAGCTTACCTGGGACTCCACCATCTCCACTTATACTCACAGGTAGGGTCAGCACCAAGGCCGACTGGATGGAAATGGTCACCTGTGATAGATACTTATGACTTTACGATTTTCTGGCTTGATTCTTGAGGCTGAACCAATGAGGCTGCATTTTCCAGCCTACCAATAACAAAGCTTATGTGGTAAAAGTGGCAAAGCACAGCCCTACCGAGAGGGGTTGGGGGGATCAGAGGACTTGCATTTTAAGAATTTCCCCCTAATATCTAGGAGCTCAAATGGTAAAGTTCAGAGGAAGGGGGGAGAAGACAGGGAGACTGATGTGGAGGAGGGGCTGAGATTTGTGACTCCTGTTTTCATTTTGAATCTGGAGATTCTTGAACTTCATTGGGGGTTGAAATCCTGTCGGTTGCTCTAGGTGTGTGAATTGAGTTGTATGTTCTTGGTTGAGAGAACATTCGATTCACTCAGCTGTGTGTTTCCTGGAGATGTACAAGTTCTTTTTTGAGCTGAGCAAAATGGTTATGTAATTGCATACTTCTCATAATTATTTAGTAATTATATACTTCTTATAATTACTGAGTAATCATTGTTCTATAACTAGAACTTAATGTTACAACTAATTGTATAATTACCATGTATTAATGTTATCTGGGAAACTTAGAATAAAGTGGCAGTTAATATAGTTCCCCCTGCCATGCCATTTTCAAAGCTAGCAAGAGTAGTTGTTTTACGGCTAGAATGTGTTGAAAAGACAAATGAAACGCAAGGAAAAACCTGACCTGTATTAAAATCATGGATGTTAACTCATTGATCTTACATTAGCACCTGGCCTGAAATTTGTAAAATTGTATTCTCTCAGCTTAATTTTAGAATTTTCATTGTTGTTTGGCAATTTTCAATCATTTGTAAAATGTGCATAGTCATACTGCTTTAGAGGCCACTGAGCATCTGCCTGGGTGTAATAGGATAAGCTGACCTTTTTGAAATTTTACAACTGGGCATGTAACAACATTCCTAGATGCTGTAAATGAACACCTATTATGTGCTGGATATTGTAAAGAAATGATCTCACTTAACCTTCACAATAACATTTCCATCGAAGTGTTACCGTTCTCAGTTCACAAATTAAAAACCTGAGGCTTGGGGATACTTAGTAATTTAGCAAAGAGCACACTTGTCAAGAATGACAAGGACAGGTTCAACCGGTAGAGCCTTAGATGGAACTTCAGTCCCAGCCAACACTTTGATTGCAGCCTTTTGAGATCCTTAGCAGAAGACCTCATTAAGTTACGCCCAGGCTCTTGACCCACAGAAATTATAAGAAAAGTCTGTTGTTTTAAGCTACTAAGTTTGTGGTAATATCTGACACAGCAAGAACACATACTGTGTGGCTGTAGGTTTGGTAAGGCTCTGCTAGAATTCCAAGAGGGAAGAGTCTCCTGTTAATCAGTGAGTCATGTTCTTGACCAGCGTTCAGTTTGGAAGCTGGAGACCACCTTCTGTGGGGGCCTGTTTTCCCGTATAGCTCTTGGATAGCTGGGATAATGGCCAGAGCTGGTTCATTAGGGGAAAAAAAAATTCTTTTTGCCCAAATTGGGGAAAAAAATAAGTCAAAGTAGAAAAGAAAAATCTGACTTTCCAGAGTACAATATCGTTGATGAAAATGGATCATACTTCTCTAATTTACCAAAGTCAAAATATATCTCTGAATTCATTATATATAATATATAATATATAATATGTGTGTATATATATATAATGAATATCATTTTATTAACATATTAATAATCTTCTCTGATGTTAATAAAATGATATTCATTTAGGTAAATCTGATACATAAAGCAAAGTTGATGAAAAGAAATCATGCTCCAAAGGACTTTAAAAATGATATTTAAAATATTTAGAAGACTAATTGTGCAACCTTAGGCACACTCCTGCCCATGCGTTTTTAAAAACTTCAAAAAAGAGCAAAACAAAAAGATTCTCAGTATCTATAGAGCTGTTACTGCTCTTGCATGAGCACTGACTCAGGGTAAAGGTTTCTGAAGCATTTTTTGGTGGGTTGATGAAACGTTCTGTGTATTTATTCCCCAAACTACAATTGTCA